GTCACAGAAGGGTATATACATCCAAGCAGTATCTCCTAACTGACTCGCATCAGTGCAGTAAATTTCTGGAAGGTGACGGCTGTTGGCAGAGGGTGCTCACATCTTCAGGTTACCCCACAATTGCTCTGGCCAGTAGCAAATACTTCTAAGGAAGGGGTAGCACACAACACAGTCCCTGTTGGGAAATTACTATTACTACACTCAACAGTGTGAAAATGTCCAATGAATGGCAGGAGTGGAAGACTTCTCACCACCCAGACAATGAGCAGACTCATCTCCTGAGCTGCAAAGCACTTGCTCCTCTTTCCAGGGCCCCTGTAGTGTAGGAAAGCACATTAGCCATGAAGATTCCCGTAGAGGAGACGCTGCATGGAGCCATACAAACCTCTTCACCAGAAGTGCTGAGCAGGACCACGTTGCCCACATTATCACCGGTCACCACCGCACGGCAGCTTGCAGAAACATCAACGCTGCAGTACCAGCAACTAGGGGGAAGGACACAACATCAGTGCTGCCTCCCGCCGGCAAGGGAAGGCAGCGGAGCTCTGCTTCACGCCTCGTCCCTGACAAGGGAGACTGCAACAGACCGTGAGTGCTATCTCCTGCCTGGTGGTGTGGGCCTGAGTATCAGCAATGCTTTCTGTTGCTCACTGAATATGAAATAACTGCCTAGTCGTTTGTGAAGTGTTCATCAGATGGAGTGTAACACATTTGGACAGTGGAACATAACTCCTTAACATGGAGGCTGATGAGCCACTTGGTGCCTGCACATGGACGCACCTTAGGAAAGATCAGAACACCCTTGTGACACTGACAAACAAAGAAACAGCTTTAAAATGGCATTTCCCACAAACACTGAAGCAGCAGTAAAGAAAAGACAAAAGCTTTGGACTGGCAAGTTGCACATCAAACTGCCTCTACTTCATGCCCCAGGACACAAAACTGAATAGAGCCTCATCTGATAAAGACATAGGTCTTAAGCCCAGCTCTGCTGGGAGGGGAAGAGCAGCAAGAATAAAGCTGGGGTCCTTCAGGAACTTGCTGGGAAACCTTCACTTGCAAAGATAAATCATTCTAGAATTCACGGTCATGAAAGTCAACCTGGTGAACCTGGAGCCTCCAGGAGGGCAGCAGGGTAAACTCAATAACCTGAAACTCCAATTGTGCAGGAAGGTTTTGTGGCTTTCCTGCCCTACCTGAGCTGCTACGGACAAACAGAACACTGATGGCAATGGAAAGGAAGTGTCCTGCTCTTCTCGCCTCGCACTTTATGAAGTGAAAAGCTGTCAGCATCTGCAAGCCAGGAGATGGCATCACCAGAAAGCAATACCAGAAGATGCAGGCAGCAGGCTCAGCTCCTGTAAAAGCAGACCTGCCCTGTGGCTGCCTCGCTTCTCACCCACCCAGCAGCGTGAAGCCTGTCTCCAAGTCCTCTCACGGGACCAACTCATACCAAAAAGTCTCCTACCACTGGCAAAGATGAAGATGTTACAGAGCACAAGCAGCAGCGCAGCATTAACCCCGAGGAACACAGAGTCAGCCTTGTGGTGCTCCCTTCTCACCAAACATTATGGTGCTCATGGCCACAGTCCGGGGCACGGGAGATCACCTGCACCGCTCTGCCCTCAAGGTCCTGCAGGCTTAGGGTGCCATCCCCTGATGCCACAAAAAGCTTCGCTGCCTCATAAGGACTGAACTTGATGTCTCCAAGAGAATCTCCTGGCCCCTTCTGGAATACACACAAAGCCATGAGGCACCAAGGTTAGAGTGGAAGATAAAATCTTAACACAACACATCTCCTGGGACATGCTGCTGTTTCCCTGCGTACAATGCACAGTTTGCTGATGGGGGGCATGTTTCTAATGTTTCCAATATAAGTACATACATTCCGAGCCTATAAATTCGACCCCACCACTTTGGGCTGCAAAGCTCATCATCAGGATTGCTTTTTCTCCTATGGGGTAGGACTAATCTGCAGTGAACCACCTGGCTCAGCCCAGGCTTAGGATATCGCAAGCAAAACCAGCACTACTGCATTCAGAAACTACGTAAGAACCTCATGACAGCTCTGCACTAAGCTCTTCTTACAGAGACTTCATTCACCAGTCTCCTACAGGCTGTTTCCAGTGCTGTATCTGGTCTTTCTCAAGGTACCAGCAGGCAGGATGAGTGAGGCAAGGAGAAATCCTACTGCTAACCCCACTACATAGGAACTTTATGTTCTGTGATATGTCATATCATTATTGTTATGTTGTTTTGATATGTTGTTTTCCCCCAATCTGTTTACTGAGGAAACATGGAAATCCTACACAAAGACAGAAAAGAAGGATGCTACCTGGTAGTCCCCAAACTCTTTGATACTCAAGAGCACTTCATCTGCTGCACACAATAAAGTCTCACTGTAAATACTAGATTTCACAAAGCCAATGAAGATAAAGGCCTGCCACAGAGCCTGCCTGTCCTCACAGCAGCAGGAGAAGGGCATGCCCTTTCAAATCCAGGTATCACTGCTGTGACAGGCATCCTGCTGGGATACAAGATCCTCGTGTCCCAGGACCCAGTCTATTCCTCCCTGCTCACCTGGTCAGTCATCCCAGCACTACTTGGGGGGGTCTGCCCTATTACAAGGCTCCATCTGGAAGAGCTAATTTAGAAACCAACCATGAAAGTTGCCACCCATAGAGAATCAGGTGGAGAAAAGCAAAGAGGAAGCTAACCCAAATTCCCTCACTTACCTTTAAGCACTGAACTGAAGTAACTAACTGAAGAGCTCAGGCTTCCTTGTAAGTCCACAGAAAGAGCAAGTCTGAGAGGGTGATTCTAAGCACAGGCAGAGTTGCCTCTAGAGATTCATCTCCTCTTTCCACTCATTACTGAAGGAGCCCAGACTCTTAATTTTGGTACTTTAGAGAAGCACCAAAAGTGAGGTGGGATGAATCAGAGTGATCCTTATGACACGCACTGCTTGAGGTCAGTGGCATTTATGGAGAAGCACTGAGGGGACTATAAATTGTCCTGTAAAAACCATCTGACAACAAGCAGCATTGCTAACAGGTGAGGAGGTTAGGAGGTCCCCAGGGCACAGAGCTATGGGAGGCTTAAGAACGGAGAGCTGAAGAAATCCACTGGCACCCCCACACTCTCCCATGTACAACAGGAAGTAAGCAGCATCAGTGCCCCTCCCCTTCATGAAGTAAAGCTGTCTCCTGCCCACCACCCCATTTCAGGGAAAAATCAAAAGGGAGAGTGAGCCTCTTTGGAAGAGAGAGGATCCCTGGAATTCAGAGGATAAAGGACAGGTACGTGTAGAAGAGGAAGCCCACGTGTTAGAGACAAACATCTCTCTCTTTCTCTCTGTCTCTGTAGTGCTCTGCCAGCAGGACACAGAGGCCCAAAGCATTCTGAGTTTCTTACTCCCAGTCCTCGGTGCTGGTGAAGACCCGGACAGTATTGCCATTAAAATCCTGCAGGGCGGTAGTGCCGGCAACTGACGAAGTGTACAGCTGACTAGGGTTAAAAGGGTTAAACTTCATTCCTGTGATGGCCCCTCCAGCTCCCATCTACAAGGAAGGGGATGAACAAAAGAAAAATCCACTGAGTGACGGGGAAAGGAGAACAGTGTGTTCTGTAAGTCTGCATTCACTGCTATGTCCTTAACAGCAACAGTGAAACACACCACAGCCCTTCAAGGAGGCAGACACAGCTATGCCTTCCCACACGATGGCTGTCACAGACAGCTGCCCTCTTAGAGGACAAAACTGCAACTCCTTCAGTCCCCAGGCTATGTATTCCCTGGCTGGCACCACACTGTTTACAAAAAGAGAAAGATGGCTCTGGAATTTCTGGAGGACAGACCTCCTCCCAGTGTACAGCTATGTTAATTTAGAAAGGGAATAAAAGTTAGAGAGTCTTTGAGCCCCTGGCAGAATGGAAATGGCTGAATACAGCAACAAGGGGGAATGCCAGCTACATAAACCATTCATTCTACCTTAGTTTCTCACTTTAGATAAGGAACTTGGTTTCTCCCCACTCCAAGACGTTTCCTCATCTGACACAGAATAAAAGGTGAGCAGAGAAAGATCAAGACTAAACCAGACAGACCCTCTCTGCCTACTTGTTTCTGGCATCCCTTTAAGATAACTGTTTTGCCAGTTGCTGTATTAGTTTTCCACTGCACACACACCAAGTACCGCTTCATTATCAACCTGATCAACATGCCTCAGTTCCCCACAGTGCTAGAATAGTCTGGGACCTAGGAACAGACATGCTGTTGCACCTCAATCCTGCCCTATAGCTGGCTACTCTGCAACCCAAGACCGTTATGTGCTTCCCACAACAGACCTGTTTTGATACGCAGTATTTGGGAGTACTCCAGTTTTCCCTCCCTCCCTCCCACCCATTCCATGCATGCAGAGGCTTACCCCTTTTATGAAGCAGGTTTTAGTAAGTACTTCATAGTCCCAAAGGATGATGTCTCCACCTTTGGAACCAACAGCTACAGTACTAGGGTGTGTTGGATGCCATTCCAGGCATGTCACCCTCCTGTCAAAGGGACTTGCTGTTCGAAAGAGGCGGTATGAGGCAAGAGAGCGCAGAAAGGGCAGCTGCAGACACTGGGAAAAGAGAAAGAGAATTATTACTTCTGCAGGGATTCCCAAAAGTCTCTGAGTGAGGAGAGCTAACAGTTTCTGCCATCAGTGTTAGCACATTCACACTGGAGAGTGAAGAGAACATGCTGTCCCCAAGGAAACAGCCTGTGACCACGCAAGTCCATATCAGCCACAGCACTCAGCAGCAGAGAACTGAGTTACCACGCTTCAAATGAAGCCCTGTGGGCTGCAGTAAGAAGGCAGGATAAATAACAAGGGAAAAGACGATGCCTCCATACCAGTAAAAGTCACTTAATGCTCTTCAGTGAGCATCCCAGAATGTTATACGTCATCCAGAGATACAATATTATGGTCCTCCACCCAAAGCGCCTGCAGCTCAGCTGTACAGCGTAACAGTGAACAGAACACTTGAAATAAGGAATGAGAAACCACGACACCACTGTATTGTTATTCAGCTGAGGAATAGGTTCTGCTTGGATGAGTTCAGTGATTTACCATTTGAATGCTTAAAAAAGACAAATCATCTAGAAGATAAAGCTTGCCCAGGTGCTTCCCAGCTATAGATATTACAGAAAAAGTTTATTTTCAAATGAAAGAAGGAGTATGGCTCTGAGAAACAGTAAAACGTTATGGACTTGATGGAATATGTCTGTGAAGACCAAAAATCAACACTAAACCTAGTTAGCAAAGTAGAGCGAATACAAAACTAGTGTGATAAAACAGTTGGATCAGTGTGCAAAAGTAGCACTGGGCAGTAACTCAGCTGGTAGAGTGGATAAGTTTAAATATGTGTCATAGTTTAACCCCAGCTCACTTGCTGCCCCCTCCAGCAGGATGGGGAGAAGTGGGAACAGGTAAAACCCATGGGTTGAGGTAAGAATAGTTTAGTAATTAAAATAAGGTGTAATGTAATACTAATACTGAAAAGGGAAATAGCAAAAAAGAGAGCTTCAAAAAGCAAACAAACAACAAACAGGGATGCACAATACAATTGCTCACCACCTGCTGACCAATACTCAGCCTGTCCCCGAGCAGCGATCGGTCCCTTCCAGTCAACTCCCCCCAGTTTATATCCTGAACATGATGTTCTATGGTATGGAATATTCCTTTGGCTAATTCACATCAGCCATCCTTGCTGTGTTCCCTCCTGGCTTCTTGTGCCCCTCCTCACTGGCACAGCATGAGAGACTGAAAGTCCTTGACTTTGGGTAAGCGCTACTTAGCAACAACTAAAGCATCGGTGTGTTATCAGCATTATTCTCAGACTGAAGCCAAAACACAGCATTGCACCAGCTACTAGGAGGAAAATTAACTCCATCCCAGCCAAAGCTGGGACAATATGATTCAAGAAAACACAGAATTAACAGAGGATAAAACAGAGTGACAGGCCAGGGTCAATTGAAAGGGAAAGCCACCTCGGCTCTTGCATTATACAGGATTAAGAAACTTAAGGGTGTGCCAGATCTGGAGCCACAAACTGTATGTGAGAAACTTAAAAGTTTCCCTGCTTGTGTTGATCATGTTTTTAAGTAAGGAGCTGAAATGTTGTACTGGGTTTGTGCGGCAAGGTTTTGGTAGTGGGGGAGGCTACATGGGTGGCTTCTGTAAGATGCTGCTAGAGGCCTCCCCCATGTCTGACAGTCAGTGCCAGCCAGCTCCGAGATGGCTTCAGGCACTGGAGCAGAGATTCGCCTGCAGCCTGTGGTGCAGACCATGGTGAGACAGGCTGTGCCCCACCAGCCCATGGAGGTCCACGGTGGAACAAATACCCACTATGGGAAGGCCATGCTGGAGCAGGCTCCTGGCAGGAGCTGTGGCCCCATGGAGAGAGGAGCCCACGTGGAGCAGGTTTGCTGCAGGACTGGTGAACCCTGCGGGGCACCCACACTGGAGCAGTTCATGAAGAACAGCAGCCCATGGGAAGGACTCATGTTCATGGAGGACTGTCTCCTGTGGGAGGGACCCCATGCTGGAGCAGGGGAAGAGTGTGAGGAGTTCTCCCCCTGAGGAAGAAGGAGCAGCAGAGACAACGTGTAATGAACTGACCACAGACACCATTCCCTGTCCCCCTGTGCCACTGCAGGGCAGGAGGTAGAGAATTTGGGAGTAAAGTTAAGCCTGGGAAGAAGAGAAGGGAAAGGGAAAGGTGGTTTTAAGACTTGGTTTTATTTCTCATAACCCTACTTTGATTTGACTGGTAATAAATTAAGCTGATTTCCCCAAGCTGAGTCTGCTTTGCCCATGATGGTAGCTGCTGAGTGACCTCTCCCAGTCCTTATCTCAGCCCGCACAAGCATTGTATTTCTCTCCCCCTGTCCAGTTGAGGAGCGGGCACATAGCATCCAGCCAAAGACAACCCACCACATATGTCCAAGAGGTCATGAAGGAGAAGGTTCTCACCTGCCTGAGCTGTGCCCGAATGGAGCCTCCCAGCATGTTCTGGTACACGTAATGAACAATGCTGCACTGCCGCTCCAGCTGATGGAAAAGGACTCTGTTGTTTCTCACCATGGACCCACCTCTACTCCAACCTGCCAGAAAAGGAAAGAGTAAAACTTACTGAGAGCCAATGCCCGTGATGCTCATTCACTGAACAACATGGGAAGACATCTGCATTTGCTGCTACATCCATCAAAAGCTTCAGCCACAAGATGAAAGTCTCTAAATGATTTTGACATGTCTAATGCACAGCAGCCTCTGCAAGTGTAGAGTCCCACTGCCTGCCAGTGGTCTGTGTGTGCTTCCTCTTGTTAAACCTTCCTTCTCCTTGCCAAAGGTTTATCAAGACATCAGGAGAGGACTAAAGCAATGCATCTCTTGGCCAGTATACAATCTGAATGGTTCATACCCTCAACACAATGAAGCTATCCAAAGCCCTAACAACTTGGAAATGTGCCATGGGAGGTGGTAAGTCCCTGGATACAGCGAAGGCAAGGTCAGACGTGTGACCAGCAGAAAACCTGAAAATTCCCCAAGCATAGCAACATGATTTCCCACAGTATTCCTGAAATGCCTCCTTGGCAATCAGAATGTTCGATCTGCTTGTGCTGTAGCCTGTCAGTGCAGAGTGTGGGGTTTGGTAACAGACCTGCTGACTCCTCGCTGCCTGAAAACCTTTCTGGCTGGAGTGATTTTTGCTGAGACTACACCACGCTTCTGCATTTTGTTCATGTCCCACGTTCTTTTATCTTCAGGGACTTTTACATAAAACCTGGATCTGTTTAGTCTCGTGTCTGTGATCTAATCACCCCCACGGCAATGGTCTGTAACATCCCAGGGGATCTGGCTGATAAATGCATTGCTTAAGAAATAAAAATGCTATTTTCATTTATGGGTATTTATTTATAAACCAAACCATAGGGATCATTCTGTATTATTGGAACCTACACAAAATCTGTAATGCAACACGGGAGCCTGGAAATGCACAGGTATGAAGCTAAACTTTGTTTACATGCCAACATAGTGCCAACACTTGTCACACTTGTTGAAACAGGTATAAAAGTATTTTTATTCTAATTCCCCCCCCCCCCCGACGACTTAGTATCCACAGAAATTGAGTCATTTTTTCCAAATTCCTTTATATTATGAAGGATAATTTATTGAGAAAGAAACTTTAGGCCTTTTTAGAATCTGCTGGAAGAAACCCTTTAAAAAGGTGTTTCAGTTACAGGAAACTGAACTTGTCCTATTTGGCTCAGGAGAAAAAAGTAGTTTTTCTAAAATACACAAAAATCCAACCTGGACTACAGAATGGGAAAAGCTCAAATACAAAGGTCCTTATCTTTTAAAAAAGGTTTAAGGAAAGATACATTTGTGCTCATTTTTCCAAAGTGCTACCTACATCTGATTCCTTCTGACTCTTACAGAACTGCAGATGCTTCCCAGAGCTGAAGATCAGGCCATGAAGTTCCAATGAAAGTCATGTAGCTAAATTAACTACAGAAGATGCTTTAACTATCCACAATTATACACAGAACTCCTGTCTCTACATCCCTTGCTCACACTGCTGACTGCTCCAGATTTGGAGTTAGACACCAGACAATGGGAATAGTAAAAATCATAAAACTCCTCTATCATCTTTGACTGTTGAAAAACACCTTTCCACACAAGGCAGTGCCTCCAGTGATCTCCTAAACAAACAAGGGAATTAAATGTTCTATCTGAAAAAAACAAGGAGGCTCAGGGGGGACCTTATCGCTCTCTAGAACTACTTGACAGGCGGTTGTAGTGAGGTGGGGGTCAGTCTCTTCTCCCAGGTAACAAGCAATAGGACAAGAGGAAACGGCCTTAAGCTGTGCCAGGGGAGGTTTAGGTTGGCTATTAGGAAAACATTCTGCACTGAAACAGTGGTCAAGCATTGGAACAGGCTGCCCAGGGAAGTGGCTGAATCACCATCCCCGGAGGAATTAAAAGACATGTAGATGTGGCAATTAGGGACATGGTTTAGTGGTGGACTTGGTCAGGCTAACAGACTCCATGCTAGGTTAACTGGACACAATGATCTCAAGGGTCTTTTCCAACTTAAAAGATTCCATGACTCTACAAAAATAGTCCTTATTGTAACTGGAACCTACATAATGTCTTCATAATGCAAAGCATTAACCTTTCCAGTACCTTAGAACTTAATCACCTCTCCTCCTGAAGGAATAAAACACACATGAGCAGAAGTGATTAGTAGAAATTGTGTCCAGCCTAATCTGAACACAGAGATAGAAAATATTCCTATTTACTGCAGCAGAAGTTAGAATATGCAAAGAAACACCAGTTTAGGCTGCATGCTGTAAGATGCCAACTTCATGACTATGAAACTGCAAGAATTGAATGGGAGAAAAAACAATGTATTACCAGGACTGGGCTGTCCTATGATAAAGCAAACATCCTGTAATTCAGGAACTCCACGAAGTCTAAAAACCCTCAAATAAGCTGTGACAGCATCTTCAGGCTTCTATCAAAGGGTACAGAGTCTCAAAAATGAAGCATGCATCCACGCACACACACACATACTCACTAGACAGGTAACTGGAGGATGTACTGCCCCAGTATATGTCCATGTATCACTTTGATATATAACCCCATCCGAACACTCATGCCTGAACACGCTTCTTGGCATTCTCCCACTTCAACTGGTCAATGCCTGTCATTTAGGGTAAATTTGGTCGGGAGAAACATTAAGGATCTGAGGAAATGTTACCGATTTTCTCTGGGGGTTTGGATGTTTTTCTCACAAACAACCTCTTTGATTGTGGCTCATTCCCTAGTTCCTTGTAGTCCAGTTTCCTCTTCCCAGCTGATTTCGTGTCTTCCGGCCGATGCTCATGTGCCTTCTCATGCTTCTTGTCCTTTGCCTGGTTCACTGGAGCCATTCTGTCTGACCACTAAAAGCAAACAAAGCATGGAAGGTAAGACTGTGACACACTTAAATAGAGAACAGAGAGGAAAACTGGAATGAAACTACCCCAGTGGTCTGAAAGTAGTGATTATACCTGCACCCTCTTTCATCAACATGACACTAGCTTTTTGTTGTGCTCTGCTGGAGAGGGGAACAGGTTCAATAAACTCTTCTTTGTTCACATATGAAAATGAACGCATCCTGAAGCATTAGAATATGTTTTGACAGATGTGCTTCCACCGAACTTTTAAGCTTGAAACCCACAGATCTGCATGAAGTACATCTGTGAAACCACATAATACCCCAACTGTTTCTGCAGTAGCTCACACTGAGCTCTTTAGATTCGGCTAACAAAAAGGTCAGAGCTTTTACGGTGAGGGCCAGGGCTGACTTGTCTTCCACCAAACACCCTCGGAAGGCACCTCCTACTAAACACAACGTTTCCTCACAGCCACCACCTTGGACTGGGCTCCCACCCCGGCTGCCAACCACCCCTGAACTGCTCTTCTGACTCGCGTCCTGTGTTGTG